CACCTCTCCAGCTTGCCCAGATCCCTTTGGATGACATCTCATCCTTCTGGCATGTCAACTGCACTGCTCAGCTTGGTGTCATCTGCAAACTTGCTGAGGGTGCACTCAATCCCATTGTCTATGTCATTGATGAAGATGTTAAACAGCACTGGTCCCAGTACAGACCCCTGAGGGACACCACTTGTCACTGGTCTCCACTTGGTCATCGAGCTGTTGACCACTATCTTCTGGATGTGACCATCCAACCAATTCTTTATCCACCGAACAGTCCACCCATCAAATCCATATCTCCCCAATTTAGAGTTCTTCACTCAATGCACTGCGTACCTGATCATGTCACAGTTGGGCAACTTGTCCAGAAGAATGCTGTGAGGGACAGTAAAATCGAGAAAAACTACATCCACCACCTTCCCTTGATCCACTAGGTGCGTGACCTTATCATAGAAGGATATCAAATTACTTAAACAGGACTTTCCCTTTCTGAGTCCATGTTGACTGTGCCTGATGATAGCATTTTTCTTTCACTCTCTTTCAGTAGCACCCAGTCTGATCTTCTCCATAATTTTTCCAGGAACTGAGGTTAGACTAACAGGTCGATAGTTTCCTGGGTCTTCCCTCACACCCTTCTTGTAAACTGGAATACCATTGGCTAGCTTCCAGTCACAGAGGACCTCCCCAGACTCCCAAGACCTTTGGTAGGTGATCGAGATGGATCCTGCTGTAATATCTGCTAGCTCCTTCAGTACTCTGGGGCGAATCCCATCAGGCCCCACGGACTTGTGAATTATAGAATCATAGAATCGTTTAGGTTGGAAAAGACCTTTAAGATCATCCAGTCCAACCATTAACCTAACATTACCAAGTCCACACTAAACCAATCAAGGGTAGACTAGACTAAACCATGTCACAAAGTGCTATGTCTACCTGTTTTTTGAACACTTTCAGGGATGGTGACTGCACCACCTCTCTGGGCAGCCTGTTCCAATGCTTGACTACCCTTTCCCTGAAGAAATTTTTCCTAATATCCAACCTAAACCTCCCCTGGCGCAGCTTGAGCCCATTTCCTCTCGTCCTATCGCTAACTACGTGGGAGAAGAGACCAACACCCACCTCACTACAACCTCCTTTCAGGTAGTTGTAGAGCGCGATAAGGTCTCCCCTCAGCCTCCTCTTCTCCAGACTAAACAACCCCAGCTCTCTCAGCTGCTCCTCATAAGGCCTGTGCTCCAGACCCTTCACCAGCTTCACTGCCCTTCTCTGAACACGCTCCAGCACCTCAATGTCTTTCTTGTATTGAGGGGCCCAAAACTGAACATTCAGCTGATACAGCTGGTCCCTTACAAATTCACTGTGCACAAATGGAAAGTCACTGTTCCCTCACTAGTGGGCCTCTGACCCAGGGGACTGGGCAGCCCAAGGTCTATCAATATTATTAGAGACTGAGGCAAAAATAGCATTGAGCGCCTCCACTTTTTCATCCCTATTAGTCAGGTGACCATCTTCAACAATGATTGCTCCAATGTTTTCTTTACACTGTCTGTTGCTATTAATGTAGTTAAAAAACCCTTTCTTGTTGTCTGAAAACACTGACCAGTTCCAACTCTGAGATTTCGCCTTTCGTGTTTTCTCCCTGCATATGCAAACCATGGCTCTGTAATCTTCCTGCGAAGCCTGATCTTGCTTCCAGAGATTGTACAATTCCTTTTTCTTCTTCAGCTCCATGAGGAGTTCCCTGTTCAGCCAAGCTGGTCTTCTGCCCTGCTTGCATCACTTTTGACACAGTGGAATTGCCTGCTCCTGTGCATCTGAAAGTGCTTCTTAAAAACTGACCAGCGCTCACCGACTCCTAAGCACTCAAAAGCAGATTCTCAGGAGACACGACACTGCTTAGTATCTCCCTGAATAGCTTAAAGTTTGCTCTCTTGAAATCTAGGGTAGCAACTCTGCTGACCTTTTTTCTCATTAAGCTCAACCATTTCATGATCACTGTGACCAAGACAGCCACCCACCATCACATCTCCCATGAGCCCTTCTCTATTCATAATGAGTCTAGGAGAGCATCTTTCCTACTTTGCTCACTGAGTACTTGTGACAAGAAGTTATCTTCCACAAACTTCAGGAATTTCCCAGACTTGCTCATCACAGCAGTATGGAATTCCCAGTTGATGTCTGGGAAGTTGAAATCTCCCATAAGGACAAGGGCTACAGATCCAGAGATTTCTCCTAATTGCCTATAGAATAACTTATCAGTGCTATCATCCTGGCTGGGCAATCTATAGTAGACAGCCAGTACGACATCCGCTTTGTTTTCCATCCCCCTAATCCTCACCCAGAGGCTCTCAACCACATCATCCCTAACTGTAAGGTCTGTACAGTCAAACCTCTCCTGTACATATAGTACAACTCCTCCACCGGGCCTGCCCTGCCTACCCGTCCTGAGCAGCCTGGAGCCCTCCATCCCAGTACTCCAGTTGTGGGACTCATTCCACCAAGTCTCACTAATACCAATGATATCATAGCTCTGGGAACTGACCAACACTTCCAGTTCATCCTGTTTGTTTCTCATACTGCATGCGTTCATGTACAAGCATTTCAGATGTCCTCCTAAGCCCTCGGTGCTCCCTGGAGCAGCGAATGCTCCCATTAGCATTGCCACCCTCGGGCAATGACATGCAAACCCTTGGCTTACCTTCAGCTCTTCTATTGGTATCCCCTTCCCCCACTGATTCTAGTTTAATGCCCGCTCAATGAGTCCCGCCAGTTTACAAGCAAAGAGACATTTCCCCCATCAGGACAGGTGGATCCCGGCAGGCGCCAGCATACCTTATGTTTTAAAGTCTCCCAGGGTTATAAAAAACAAAGTTCTGGTGGAGGCACCAGTCCTGGAGGCAGGTATTGATGTCTTGGGCATGCCTGTTTCTTCCAGTGTCTCTCCCCATTACTGGGAGGATTGAGGAAAACACTACCTGTGCTCCTGAATCTTTTCTGAAGAGGACAGTATGTTTTAACTAGTCCCATCTAAGTTAGTAGCATGCTTCCAGCTTGCTGTTGCTAACTCCTGTGTCTTTCCTGGGGTTGCACAACTCTTAACAGGGTGCAGCGTTCAGTCAAATGTGCCTAAATGCAAAGAAAAGTAAATGCAAGAAGATCTTGTTTTATTGGAATTGCTTTCACTACTAAAGTGCTATTTCCTTCTTTTGTCATTGCAGCAAAAGCTGAAAAAGGCTGAGAGAGTGAGTGAGGGGAAAAAGGTCATCTCCATAGGTATTCAAATAATATGAAGAAACAGAGCTTCTGCAATCAAAATACAAGGAAGTGTACAGAAAAGTGACCTACAGTCCCATGGTGGTCCTGTAAAAGGTATGATACAGCAGCACTATACCCTCAAGAGACCTCTGACATTTACATGACAACATTACACAAATTCCATCTGAAAAATAATCTTTATTATATATACAGGAGCACATGCCCCAGGAAGCTATAGGCAAAGTATTTGGTCACTGAATTTTATATAGTTGAGGAAGTCCATACAGATAATCGAGGGTAGTGCACAAATGGATATATAGTACCAATGTTCTGGACCTGCCAGAGATCCCATTATTTTAGCTACCATGATGAAATCAATCCATCCTCAAACAGGCTTTATTCATTGGCTAGAGAATCTTAAGTTTACTAACAATATCAAAAGAACTACCTCTTTCCCATGGGAAAAATGTGACTGTTAATACTCTAGCAAGAGGCAGATATAATCCTTCTGGCAAGTACTCTGAACAGAACGACCACTTGGTCTCTGACAGGGAACTCGACTGGAACCATCTTCCTTGCATTCGGCATTCTCCCTTTGGAAGAGGGCAGTCTCAATTCCAGGATATATTCAGGAGTTCTTTAGAAAACACAGCTTTCCATATATCCTGTAAGATCAAGTCCATTTGCATCAGTTTGCTTTAGATTCAAACAAGTCCAATGACCAGCACTAGCTTTCTACAACAGACTTTTCCTAAAGCAGAGATGCCAGAAGGTTTCAGAACTCTAATCCCTTCCTCACCATAGCGGGGACAGCTTATTTCTGGAGCTTCTGTCTTTGATTTGGGCCCACGTACCACCTTCAACACAGCATGTACAGGTTTTATCTTGTGACAAGGGTTCAGTGGACGAGAATGCAGGAGCGTGACTGCTCTTATTTCAAGAGGTATGCAAACACCTTCCATTGTGCGAGGGGCACAAATGCTATAAACAGCAAAGTTATTAACTTAGAGCTAAAAAGTTTCGTTTCCTATTCCTTTTCAACAACTAAATTACTGACATGATTTTACAGGCTTGTCAGGGCAGACATAAAACTGTTTTTTAAATGGAATGCTCAGCAGGTCCAGATATACTAATTTTGGCCTTTCTTCAGCAGAAGGAAACACGATTTCGAAATTCAATTCACGTCCCTTAAAGTGTCCACAACTTCCTTAGGATATGCATTTCAAACAGCACTGAGCCACAGAGCAAACCTAAAGGATGAAAGAAAGGGAAGCAGCTTCTCTTTCTTATGTCTAGCTACAGGGTTTCCCCAAGCCAACTCAGTGATCCATTCTAAGAGGGGGAAGATCCTGCCGTTCTGAGAAGTGTTGAAGTACTGCAGCAACTCAAGAATATTTTTCTTACTCCTACCACAGCACAATACTATATAAAATGAGTGGTGCTACCTCCAGGTACAGGAACAGATGCCCTCCTTGAAGCTTGTAGTGTGAGGACCCTGGCTCAGAAACTGTACCACTTACTTAAAAACACTAAGGGAATGGCAGATGTCCTGGAAACAGATCCCAAGCATCGGCACTGTCTGCTGCATACTTAGACAGCAAGCAACCTAGGTGCAAGTTGCTGCGTGCAGCTGCTCCTTAAGGGCCGATTTGGAAAAAGGAGGCAGCTGGGTGAAGTGCTACACTGTCGATAGGGAATGCAGGCCCAGGGATTGCACAGAGGGCTGTGGCTCAAGAAAGGGCTGTTATTCCTGTTCATAGGTGGCCTGTAAAGCACAGGAAGAGCAGGACATGGAGAGCAAGCAGATACATGGCCACTAGCAGAGGCAAGTGCGTCCGGGAACGGAAGAGAGAGCGTAACAGGCGTCGTAGTCCAAGGATATTCCGAGTCTGGAAGAGTAAAAGAGAGACCAGTCAGTACCAGGAATGGATACGTCCCCAGCTGCCTTCACCCAGAGCTCTCCGGACCATGAAGACCAAGAAGTTTATTTAAGCTAATGAGCATGAACCTTCCCTAACCCATTCCACTGTCAGATTCGACCTCTAGAGCCAATCCTCAGTGAAATACTCCCCTTCCCGTGCTCTCTGCAGGTTTCTCATGAACCAGGTCTCTCCAATTCTTCTTGAAAAAGGGCAACACAATGCAGAACATCTCCCTCTAACATTTGGTCCCTACAAATTTCTAGCCCCTCCAAGTGAAATATAAACAAATGGATCAATGGTAATTTTCTGCTAGAGCCTTGAGCTACTAGGAATCCTGATTCACTCTTTCACCTAGAACAAGAAAATTATTATGTATTTGTTGTGTTCTTTCACCCTTGTAGCTGGAAGGACTTCTGAAGCTGTTGAACAAGCTGCTGTAGAGTGACCTTACTCTACAGGAGCTCTTTCAGGAGTCCTCAGACAATTTAACATCTACCAGCAAAGTTCGGGTAGAAAGAAAAACCCATCTATTCTAGTAACAAACCCCAAGCATGAGCACAGAGTAGCATCTAGTTATGGCTTTTGCCGTAATTCTGCTGATGCTGCTTTTAAAAGCACCACCCCCAAGTCTTGAAGAGACCAGAGGGCAAACTCTTCAGCAGGGCTTCATCGTTAGCAAAACAGGACAGGTGACTGCCAGACTGTCATTCAGTACAGTGAAAAAGCAGCTCTCCACTTTGGCTCCCAGCCTGACTGACACGGGTTTAAAAGACGAGTGAGGAAAAACTGAGATGGTTGCTAAATGAAAGGGCCGACTCTCCAGACATCACAGATGCTAGGGTCAGTACCACGTATACTTCTTATGCATGAGATTGTACATTGCTTGCACAGACTTTGCCTATTTGCTCACCACTGAGGCCTTGGATATTCCACAAGGAACCTGGGATGACATTTTAGGCACAGACAATGCTGGCCTAATTTTAGTGACTTCTAAAATTTAGTCTGCTTATGCAGACTGTAGCAGAGCTGCAATCAGAACAATATGTGGCTTTTGGCATGGAAAACAGAACCAGACAAGAGCAGAAACCTACACAAACCCAAACAGATTTAAATGTGCCTACAGAAGGATTTAGCTGCTATAGGTTCACAGTTTTCAGTTCACATTTTCTTGCATCAGCCAGGGCTCACACCATTGACAGCTGTGAATGTAAATTCTTACTTTGCTGAAATTATTATCCATGGAGTCAATCAGCAAGGAATGCTCATGATCTGGAGTCATATCAATGCTAGCACTTAAAGAAGATGTCCACTCACTTGACTGCAACCTGCCGCAAAAAACATGAAATTAAATTCAGTTTCTTATGATGGCCCAAACCAACACTGTAGACAAGCTTAGGAAAGGAGGTATTTCTTCAAAAAGTAATCAACCACTGCGAGCAAGCCGTGGCCTCACTTGACAAGAACTGGTCTCATTTGCACAACTGTAGCGCCTCCTGAGCTCAAGCTGAGCAGAAGGACTGGGTGATCCAACTAGCAGTAGTCATCCTTCCTCTACCAGCAGGCTGGTGAAACCGTAACAGAGTAGGCGTATTGTGCCTCTATACAAGTTATACTTGCTCAGTGCCAGCCACTTCCTTTGCCCAGTCATAGCCATAGTCAGGGAGAAAAGTAAAACCTCCATACTGCACGATGTGCAGATTACCATTCCTCTCCAGTAGGGAGGACAATTCTGCTGCTGGCAATGGAGTCCTTTCTTACCTAATTTATACCCTGTCACTTCAAAACTCATGATTTTTTTGGTGCTGTTTTTTGCCTTTTGTCTTTCAGGAATTTCAAACTCTTTAACTTAACTGAGGTCCCTGTGCTCTACATTTCAAGTAGTGTTCTACAATTTCAACTGAAATTTCATGGTGCGTGACTTGAAAGAAGCCAGGGCAGATTATTTAACTGTATATTTTAAATTCTATGAAATTATTTTGGAAGCCAACTTTGGTCCCAATAGTGCTGGTTCTTGCTAACAATTTTCTAGTGAGAGATATTCAAGATTGATAAGATACTATTAAAGAATGAAATGCAGAAGCAGCACTGTCAAATCTTCGGGCTAGCATTAATTAGTGAAGTGAAATCAGTTGTAAGAGGCTTTCATAGACTTTAATGCTAGAAGGGGCTACAGTTGTCTGTGTAGCAATTACCAGGGAACTTCATCCAGACCATTATTCTTCTGCTGAATCAGCATGTGCGTCAGAAGAAAGGCATTGTTTTCATGTAAAAGACTCCAGTAGTGAGGTTTATTTTAATTACCAGAAAATGCAAGCGCAAATGTGCAAGTGCCTACAACGAAGTTACATGATAAAAGGCACTTTTATAGTCAACAAGGAGAAACATGCATTTCTTAAATGCGACTCACTGCATCCTAATCCTAACATCTAGTCTAGGTCAGCCTCCTTTTCTCTGCTGACTATAAGGGTGTCTGTCAAGTAACCTGAGATACACAGTGTATTAGGCATAAACGGCAAGGTTTTGGTAATGGGGAGTTGCAAGGGAGAGCTGTGCGGCAGGAGGCCATGAAGTGCCCTGTACCAGTCACAGCTGCCTCACTGTGTGCCAAAACTACAACCAGAAGAGCATATGGTGCCTCTGCTCAAACATATTTAACAAAGGGTGGTAGCTATTAGGGGAAGGAGGAAATGAGTAAGAAACAAGGAGCAGAAGAGAGAAATTGCTACATACTGACCCCAGCCTCCTACACTGCCCTTTGCATCACCAAAGGGATTGAGTGTAATGTGCGGTGCAAACAACAGGACTGGATACTAGAAAGTGGGGAGGAGAGGTGTCTAGATTGAAGTTGAGCCTGGGAAAGGTGGGGGGAAGTGTTTTCCCTAAGTGTTTAATTGTTTCTCAATACCCAAAATAATTAGAAGTTTATGTTAATTGGCAATATATTAAAATTGAGTGGCATTTTTCAAGTCAAGACTGTTTTGCCCGTGATAGACAGGTGCTTACTGAGGAGACAAATCCCCTGGAAGTATGAAAACTCCTCTTCTGCCTTCACCCAATTCCCAGTCTCCGAATTATATTTTCCAGTAGTTAATTTAACTCATTGAGAAAGCTGGCATCTCATTTCTAATCAGAATTTGTCTTAATGTCTAGTCAGTTGTCTCATTCTACCTTTGTCTACAACTGAAGGATAGCCTGAACATCAGGAAACACTTTTACTGTAAGGGTGACTGAGGATTGGCACAGGTTGCCCAGGGAGGTTGTGAAGTCTTCATCCTTGGAGATATTCAAAAACCATCTGGACATGGTCCTGGGCAATTGGCTCTAGGTAGCCCTGCTTGAGCGGGGGCACTGGACCAGATGACCTCCAGAGGTCCCTTCTAACCTCAACCATTCTGTGATTCTATGATAGACATGGAACAGTCATTTCTATACCCCCAGTGACATTTGACAGAAGGATGTAATGAAGTGCAGATGAACACAGAGCTAGGGTCACCATATTTCTATGGTGATACTGCCTGTGCTCAAGCTCCCTCACCTCCTGATCTGATCCTGTGCTGCAGAGAGCGCCTCCTCTACAGCAAGACGACGGTCCCGTTCTTCCTCCAGCTGCTCCTCTAAATACCTCAGATCCTGCTTTGTGCTGCTATGTAAATGTTCTGTTTCGGACAACCTGTCAGAAAATAACCAAGCATATGCCAAAAAAGGGCTAATCCATGGACTGTTCTGTTTCTATTGTATTTACTGATGCAGTACGTGAATAGACTCCAATTCCCTTCCACTTCACACAGAACCCTTAGTTATCTTTTATTAATATATTTAAATTATTTGGAAAGCAAGAGAGAAGATAAATCTCTTAAAGCTTCTGTGTCACATCAGGAAGGAGTTCCTTGGCTCTGTTGTCCATGGTCCCACCTTCTGAAAATTATTTTGAAAGGGTATGAGGAATCATGTCCTAGATCTTAGTTCCAGAAGGTTACAAGGAATCATGTGCTATGTCTCAATTTCAAACACCTTCAGGCTAACAGCCTTGAGACCAGGGCCACTGATATACTTAAGCAGTTACTGAGGACCCAGCCCATCAAATCAAAGATGCTAGTTTGGCTAGTGATGGTCAACTGGAATTGCTGCTGCATGTTGTCTCTTCATTTTTTTAAATTCTACCCAAAGAGATAACTAACAACAGCTGTCAAGTGCATATAACAGTTCCTCCACTTCCACAAGGTCCTAGTGTGGAACTGAGTTTTTCCAACACTCTGACAGAGAGTAACAGAAATAGACTCATCACTAGCCCACTAAAATCCCTACACCTGTTTTCTCAGGCTTTCTTTACCTCAGCTGCAACTCCTGCAGTTCTGGTGTGTAACTGCCTCTCTGAGGCTCATTCTTTTCTTGGGGTGCTCCTGGAGCAGCGTCTGTTGCAAACAACTCCTGAAAGAAAGCATGAATATATGGCAGATAGCACTGAAAGAAGAGGATAGAAAGTAGCTACAATGCTGCAGTTAGTAGAGCCATCTGCAATAATCTTTTCCCTCCCTTGCACCAAGAAGACCACCCTTACCATGCCCTTGTCTGCAGACTGCAGCTCCTGGAGCTGCCTCTCAAGCACCAAGCAGCTGTTCAGAACCTCATTGTAGTGCTGATGGCTCTCACAGATGTTCCGACTGCTACCGCGCAGCTGGAGGGAGAGGGCATTCTTCTCCTCAAAGACCTGAGATAGCTGAGAAGAGAACACAACTGCTAAGTAAAGAACTCATATTTTTGCAAGAGCAAAATTGTTCTCTGTGTAACTGAGGGTAAGAATTCGATTGAGAACATGGGAACTGCCACACTGCATGTTACTAGGGTCCAAAGACCACTGATAATCTCCAACAGTAGCTTGTGGCTAAGGTTTCCAGAACAGGAGTCCCAAAACATCAACATGATGTACAGAGTAACACGCCTCCAAAACAAGATTTCTAAAGTGCCGAGATTGACCTAAACCTTTCAGAAATATCACCAATAAATTATGATTTTATATTTTTGCTGTCTCCTTGAATACAACTGTCTTTCTGAAGATTGCTAAACTCTGAGTCTTCCATTTCAATGTGGGAATCAGACTGCTTGTGATTCTGCACTGAAATACCGAAACTTTTTCAAGATCGCAGGCAGCACTGAAGATCACAAGCATGCCTTCCGAAGGAGGGACTTCCTTCAGGAGTCTAGAAAGCAGGAGGCTAGAAAGAACTCCTGACAATAGAAATGGAACCTGGAAACAACTTCCCATAATCTTACTCTCTGGTCCCTCTGTCTGGTCTCCCTCTCTCCCCCATCCCTCCATCCTGCCCCCACTGTCCCCCTGCCAATCTGTCCTCTTCCTCCCCTCTCCCCTTCTCTCCTCCCTCCTCCTTTCTCCTTCTGGTCACTTTAGAGAAAGGGCACTAAAATTCAGTGGCAGAGAAGTTGCTGATTCAGATACTACTGTCACTGATCCTCCTGAATGTGACCTATATATGGCCTGGAATATCCCTCTGGTCCATCCAGGTCAGCTGTCCCAGTTGTGACCTCTCCCTAGCTCTTGGCCACCCCTGACTCAGTGCAGGAAGAGCAGAGTGAGAAACGGAGAAGGCCTTAATGTTGTGCAAGAACTGTTCAGCAATAGCTAATACATTGGTGTGTTATCAACACTGCTTTAGTCACAAATCTGTAATACAGCACCCTGGGGGCTGCTATGAAGAAAATTAACTCCATCCCAGCCAGCTTCAGTACACAGAGCTTTTAACATCACCACCCACAGTATTCACATTTGCAAACTAAGGAGCTACGAGTCAAAAATTGGCTGGACCACTGGACTCAAAGGCAATGATCAATGGCTTGACAGCCAGCAATGAGCAGAATACTCCTGGGGCCTACCTGGGGCACATATTGCTCAACACTGACAGCAATATAAGTTATGACAGAGTATAGCATCAGCAAATTTGCAGCCAATATTGAATTTTGGGGAGTAGCTGACATGACAAAGACCAAAACTTCAATCTGAGGGACCCTGAGAAACTTGAGGATTGGGCCAACATAAATCTCAAGTTCAATAAGGAAAAGTGTAAACTTCTGCACCTGAGGCAAAACCCATGCATCAGTATAGGATGGAAAGAGACAGCCAAGGCAACAGCCCTGCTGTAAAGGACCAGGGAGTTACAGCAGCTGCCCAGCTGAATACAAGCCAAAAGTGCATCCTCATTGTGAACAAGGCAAACTGTCTACGGGGCTACATTAGGAGAAGCAAGGCCAGCGGATTGAGGGAAGTTATTACCTGCTCTGCTTGGTACCAAAAAGACTGTACCTGGAATACTGGGACAGGTTTTATGTCACTCATTTTCACCTGGAGAGGTCCCAGTTGACTGGAGGTTAGCAAATGTGACACCAATCTGCAAGGAGGACCAGAAGGAGGATCTGGGGAACTACAGACCTGTCAGCCTGACCTTGGTGCTGGGGAACGTTATGGAGCAGATAGTCTTGAGTGCCATCACACAGCACGTACAGGACAACCAGGTAATCAGGCCCAGTCAGCATGGGTTTTATGAAAGGCAGCTCCTGCTTGACTAACCTGATCTCCTTCTATGACAAGGTGACCCACTTAGCAGACGAGGGAAAGGCTATGGATGTTGTCTACCTACACGTTACTAAAGCCTCTGACACCGTTTCCCACAGCATTCTCCTCGAGAAACTGGCTGCTCATGGCTTGGCTGGGTGTACTGTTCACTGTAAAAAACTGGCTGGATGGCCAAGCCCAAAGAGTTGTGGCGAACGGAATTAAATCCAGCAGCGGCCGGTCACAAGTGGTGTTTCCCCAGGGCTCAGTACTGGGACCAGTTCTGTTTAATATCTTTATCAATGATCTGGATGAGGGGATCAAACGCAACCTCAGTAAGTCTGAAGACGACACCAAGTTTGGTGGGACTGTTGATCTGCTTGAGGGTAGAAAGCTCCAACAGAGGGATCCAGATAGGCTGGATTGATGGGCCGAGGCCAACTGTATGAGGATCAACAAGGCTCAGTGCCGGGTCCTGCACTTGGGTCACAACAACCCCATGCAACGCTACAGGCTTGGGGAAGAGTGGCTGGAAAGCTGCCAGGTGGAAAAGGACCTGGGGCTGTTGGTCGACAGCCAGCTGAATATGAGCTGACAGTATTGCCCAGTCAGCCAAGAAGGCCAACAGCATCCTGGCTTGTATCAGCAACAGTGTGGCCAGCAGGACTAGGGAAGCGATCGTGCCCCTGTACTCAGCACTGGTGAAGCCACACCTCAAATACAATGTTCAGTTTTGGGCTCCTGACTACAAGAAAGACATTGAGTTGCTGGAGCGTGTCCAAAGAAGGGCAGTGAAGCTGGTGAAGGGTCTAGAGCACAAGTCTTATGAGGAGCAGCTGAGGGAACTGGGGTTGTTTAGGCTGGAGAAAAGAAGGCTGAGGGGAGACCTTATCGCTCTCTACAACTATCTAAAAGGAGGTTGTAGTGAGGTGGGTGTCAGTCTCTTCTCCCAAGTAACAAGCGATAGAAGGAGAGGAAAGGGCCTCAAGTTGCGCCAGGGGAAGTTTAGATTCAATATTAGGAAAAATTTCTTCATGGAAAGGGTTATCAGGCACAAGAGTTGTCAAGCATTGGAACAGGCTGCCCAGGGAAGTGGTTAAGTCACCATCCCTGGAGGTATTTAAAAGATGTGTAGTTGTGGCACTTAGGGACATGGCTTAGCAGTGGACTTGGCAGTGCTAGGTTAACAGTTGGACTCAGTAATCTTAAGGGTCTTTTCCAACATAAATAATTCTAAACTGGATAGAGAAATGGGAAGGAGTCCAGGAAAAGGCTGCTGAGATCATCGAGGGATTGGAGCACATGATGCATGTGAGAGCTGGGCTGCTTTAGCCTGCTAAAGAGGAGGCTAAAGGGTCATTTTACAATAGCTTACAATGAAATTAAAGGGAGTCATAAAGTAGACAGAGCCAAACTCTTTTTGATAATGGCAGAAAATATAATAAGGGGCCACAGCCACAGACTGTGGCTTGGAAGAGTCAGACTAAACATTACAAAAAACATTTACATTAAAAGCGTAGAGTAGAGCAGCATTGGACGAAGGCCCAGAGAGGTTCTGGAATCTCTATTCTTTCACCACTCAGCTAGGCAAAGTCATGGCTGACCTGATCGAATGTTGGTGACAGTGCTGCTTTGAGCAGCAGAAGGATGTACTAGATCATCTCCAGAAGTCTCTTCTAATATTTGTGATTTTGCATTACTTCACTAAATGCCCACAAGAACAGAAAGATTCATT